CAGGTCCTTTATCTAGGGCATATAATCAGCGGGAAAGGTGTCTCGGTAGACGGCTCCAAGATTCAAGCAATTCGAGAGTGGCCCAAACCTCAATCCACTAGGGCTCTCCGCGGGTTCTTAGGACTCAACGGATACTACCGCAAGTTTGTAAAGGATTACGGACTCTTGGCTGCCCCATTAACCAAGATGCTGAAGAAGAACGCATTTCAGTGGGATGAAGCAGCGGACGCTGCCTTCACAAACTTAAGAGATGCGCTCTCCTCCACCTCCCGTGCTGCAACTACCCAACTTTGACCTGGAATTTACAGTGGAGTGTGATGCTTCTGGTATAGGCATTGGAGCAGTACTGCAACAGCAAGAGCACCCCATAGCCTTCTTTAGCCGGAAATTAGCTGATCCGCACCTAAAGCTACCGGCCTACGAGCGCAAGATGATTGGGCTTGCCAAAGCCGTCCAACACTGGCGGCCATACTTGTGGGGGAGACCTTTCGTCATCAAGACAGACCACTACAGCCTCAAGTACCTACTAGAGCAGCAGCTTACCACTCCACCCCAACAGCATTGGGCAAGTAAACTGCTCGGGTTTGACTTCCGAGTAGACCACAAGACAGGAGCTTCAAATCGGGTCGCGGATGCACTGTCCAGGCGTGACGAAGATGCTATACACCTTTGTGCAATCTCCCGACCCCGCGTCGCCCTATTGGAAAGCATTAAGAACGTGCTACCCCAATCACCAGCATGGAGAGACCTGGTTCAAGAGATACAGTCTGGAGAACCCAAACCGAACTGGTCCATCCACGACGGCCTAGTACTATACAAGGGACGGGTATATCTTCCAACCGATTGTCCATTAATTTCCACTCTCATCTCCAGCATTCATAACGCCACACATGAAGGGGTTCAGAAGACGTTGCACCGCGTCCGCACCGATTTTCATTGGCACGGTATGCGGGCCTCGATTCGGGATTTCATCTAGAATTGCTCCATATGTCAGCAACAAAAATGGGAGAATTTACACCCGACCGGCCTCCTCCAGCCTCTTTCACTTCCAACACAAATCTGGGTTGATATCTCCATGGACTTCATTGAGGGCCTGCCCAAGGTTGGCGGAAAATCAGTCTTATACGTGGTAGTGGATCGTTTCTCCAAGTATGCTCATTTTATCCCCTTGGCCCACCCATATAGCGCAGTTTCGGTGGCCCACGTCTTCTTCACACATATTTTCCGCTTGCATGGGCTACCCGAGTCCATCGTCAGTGACAGGGACCCGATCTTTACCAGCACCTTCTAGAAGGAGCTCTTTCATTGCAGGGTACGACTCTGTCCTTTTCATCCGCCTACCATCCGTAGACGGACGGTACGGACTTTGTCCTATCGGCAACACTCTCTCAAAGGCAGATTTCCCCCTAAATTGGCCCCCAAGTTTTACGGGCCCTTCAAGGTACTACGACGAATCGGGAAAGTTGCATATCAGCTCGACCTACCAGAGAACAGCAGGCTCCATGATACCTTCCATGTATCCCTACTCAAGCCTTTTACAGGGAGTCCTCCTGATCAAGTACCTCCCCTACCCCCCTTGAAGGACGGCAAACCCATTCTCCAACCTCAGACTCTTGTCCGGTCACACGTCAATCGGGGTACCTTCGAAGTCCTTGTGGAATGGGACGGACTACCATCAGCTGAGGCCACCTGGATTCCCTGGTCTGATCTTCACAACGCCTACCCAGATCTCGAGCTTGAGGACAAGCTCGCTGTCCAGGAGGGGTGTGATGTTATGGACACATTCGTTGGTAAGACTTACCGCCGCCGCCGGCAGCAGCACTGAGGAGGGGCCCATGCGACAGCTCACCAAGGGCCCACACTTATCTCTGGCCAACTCGCCACCAGCTTACCTTATCCCTTATCCCTTATCCCATCTATCCWTATCTTATCTCCTAGTAGGAGTTTTGTTACCATTAGAAGTAGGTAGTTTATTTCCCATRAGAAGTAGGAATTTGAGTTTGATTAGAGATAGATTATCCTAGCCTAGCCGAATACAATAAGGAACCCCCTCTTGTAATCTCCTATTTAAGGAGCTATGAATTGAAATAAAGGTATTCAGTTTTCAATCAAGAAAGAGCTTAGGAGAGTTAGGGTGATCTCTTGAACAAATCACCCTTGGTTCGCCACCATAGGGTCTGCGCGCAAAGGGAGGGCAAGGGAAAGCTAGGAGTTTTCCCCGTGGACCGACCTGTGACGAGATCCTATGCCCGGGCCCGTAACACAACAACACTTGTAAGAAGTGATATGTTGCAAGTTGAAAGGGTTAGAAGGGCTAGGAGTAGACCAAAAGGGCATGGGTCGAGGTAGTAAGAAATGATTTGATTGCCCATAATTTAACAATAGAATGATACATATGGCATTAAACAGGATTGAATGGCAAAAAAAGATGCATGTAGTCAACCCAATATAGTTGGGCTCAATGTTTTAAAAACCGACCTAGAGGCCAAACCGGTTTTGCCTCTAGGTCGCGGGTCACCGGTTCGACTGGCCAGGTCGAATGGTTCAGACCGTGCCACGTCATCACATGTATGTGTATAAGTGTGTGTGTGTGTATATATATAGAGAGAGAGAAAGAGAGAGAGATGTGTGTGTATATATGTATACATGTGTATAAATATATATTTTAGCAATAAATAATATATAAATATGTTTTAGATAATGTTATATGTATTATTTTATATTTAATTTATATTTTTTAATTCAGTTTTTACGTTTTTTATTTATAAAAAAATATTAAAAATTGCAATTTGAGGCTAAAAAACGATTTTTTTGCAAAAATAGCGGGGAAAGGCACCTATGGCTCCTTGGGACGCATAGATCTCGATAAGTTACCCAAAATAAAAAAAAAATCACCCCAATCGGACATCGGAGTGCAAAGTTATGGCCTCCGAAAGTTTTGCATGTATTGAGTGTGCAACCCGTGACCCAATCACCAGGTCGAACCAGTCAACGGTTCAACCGGCCAGGTCAAATGGTTCTTGACCAAGTCAACATTTTTTTGACCGTCTAACGGGTCTTGACTGAACCGGACCCGGAATCCTGGCCGAGTGATGGTTCAAATGATTCGACCATCCGGGTCAATGGAGGGTTGAAAACATTGGTTGGGATAATGCTTGGACGATGATGATAGAAAAGAAATGAATATACAATAAAAGATTAAATATATAGAAAATGAGTTTACCCCATTTTCAATCCATATTCATCATATGTTTTTTTAAAGGTCATGTATTACACCTTGTTAGTACAGCAAACTATGTGACCCATCATACATATCTATTACCATAATGTTTACCACTTCTACCATTGCACATTATAATCATAGGATGATATAATCATGTTTGACTTCAAAGTCAATTAGCCCACATAAAAAGCTTCATACCTCATACCTATATATGACAGAAAATGAACTCAAAAGTGTTAGAACAGCTTTTAGACAACCCAAATATGGCTTCTAGTAAGGGAACAAAAGCCCCTTAAAAAGGAAGAAATAACAATATATGGAAGTATGTCACAACCAATTGATTTGAATCACATAAATAATATATTCACAAAGCAAATCATAGGATTCAAACAATAACTATAAGATTTATTTAGGAAAAGGATTCAATCATGAGTCTCCATTTTTGTTTGTAGTGTGTAGGCTCAGTTTGGAAGGAGTAAAAATACAAATATGTAGAATGAAAAACCTTGTAGTTTGTATTATTTTGTATGTATTTGCATTGTCTATATTTGTATTTGTACTCTTTCCATACTGAGCTGTAATTTCATTTACACTAATACAAATGCATTTGAGTGCAAATGAGAAGAGTACAGATTCTGGTTCAATTTTTCTTAGGGTTTCACTTTACTTTGCTTCAGATTCTATTTTACCTCATTTGCATTGCAAACAAACAGAATAAGGTAAAAGTTAAAAAAAAAAAAAAAGAATTTACACTCAACTCATTTGCATTCTCATGATTTTACATCAGTGCAAATGAAACTCAACTGCAAATAAACCAGGCCTGCAATTCTAATCAGTACAGTTGGATTCACAATTTGAATTGTGAATCATATTATAAATTGGCATCTGCATAATATGTTCCATATCAACATAAACCTATTATGTAAATTAAGACTTTTTTGTCAAAAATATTGCTTAGGCGACAAGGTATTTCATAGCCTATCATTACATTGCCACTTTGATAATAATGGTGATTTCTCCTTTTCTCTTTTATTTTCTTCAGAAATTAAGGTATTTTATTAATCACAATTACAAAGTTTTGCCCTACAGTGAATCACCATAGAAGCACACAAACATCCAAGTTACTCCAGAACAAACTACAAAATCACTACATTCCAAACCAGCTCTGTTCAGACAAAAAAACATATATGCTTGACACTGACTGAACTCTTTGTCTACAATTATCCCAGCCTCCCCATCATGTTTTTTATCACTGTGTGTCTTCGTGTGTGAACTTATACCCTTCTGTTTCTTCCCAACCATACTGACACACTAAAGCCGCCGGAAGGGATGCCCAATCCACCTTACCTTTCTATCAGCCCCACAATCCACCATCCCCCCAAGAATTCCTCAACAGATTTTGGAGATACCCAGATTAAATTAAGGGTTTTGTAGAAATCAGTGCAGATTTCTAGTGTGAATTGACAATCTAGAAATTTTAGGCGTGAATTAAGGGCTTTTTCTCTTTTATTTTCTTTTAGTATCACTTCTTTCATTTCATTTTCATTCATTAAGGAAATAAAACATTAAAAAGAAATGTATAAACAGCAAAGCTCTTCCATTCATAAAATGATGAAAAAAAAAATCCTACAGAAAAATAGGAAAAGAATATTACCAATGGTACAGCATATTATTCAAAACTTAAACATCCAGTAAAACTTATGGTATATTCTAATCGTGTCAAAATGGTGAAAATGATGTGGGAGAAGAATCAAGTGATCATGAAAGTTCTACTTACCCAGTCGAGCAAGTCGATTCACCCATCCAGGGATCCCTCTGCCCGTCAATCTCCAGGAAATGTCATCTGTAAAATGGTTGCAATTCTTAGAGATAAGATGGTATGTGTCCCCATGATATTCTGAAGCAACGTCCTCCATAAATGTGCGTAATTCAGAGGGAGGCATGTCTATATAACCCAACGAAATGGAACTTCTGTAGATAAAACCTGGGCAGTTCCTTGGTTCCACCTCGAACACACCACTGGTTGGGAAATCATGGGCTCCAAATCCATATTCCATACCATGGACTGTTACATATTAATCAAGAACCATGTTATGACAATCCGGCAAGATAGCCAAGCATAACATGAATACAAGAACAAGTAGCCACCAATAAGAATTTCCAAGGTACCATAAGGTCTACAATGATAGAAGGTTTAAGCATATCTATAGTTGTTCCAGGCAACAATTTTGAGTAATTTCATTAATCCTTATAATTTCAATCCAAGTCCATGTTTTTTTCCAACTTGAACCCTCTTCCCCCTTCAAATCTATAGATTAAGCTTCCTGCCAATTTCTGAGAAGTAGTTAAATGAAAAAAAAGGGAAAAAATCCAAATCTCACAGCTTATGATGAACAAATGGAATAACAAAAATACTATTACATAGTAGTAACAAGAAGCTACAAAATCCTTAATTTCCTCCTAGGGATTCTTTTATACGACTACCTCCCTCCACACTCAACCCCTTGCCTAGAATCGGTATAACCTCATTAAATCAAATACACAGAATTTCAAACTGAATTACATCAGAAACACCCAAAGTCGTCCCTCTAAAAGCGGCAAAGCATTTCTGTGAATCCAGAGACCTCTCTATCCAACTACTCTACTGCAAAAAAAGATAGATCCAAACCCATAACCAAAAACCAGATTTCCATTCGTTTAGTACTAAATGCACGTAACCTGATCAAACAGAAAATCAAAACCCAAGCCACCTCCCACCAAAAACTAACCAAATTTAAGATCACCACCCACAGCTGAAGACAAAACTTCAATAAAAGAACATCAAGAACATATCCAGACAAATAACCAGCCATAGAAAAAGGCATAGATAGTACGACTTACTTTCAATCCCAGAATGAAAGATTCCCAATCCGAACCAGTAAATGTAGTTGTTAAGAGGAGTGAGATCATAGATATTCAATAGAACTTGACTCCCACGGTTCCTGTCGGTTTCTTCCGAAGACGCTGAATTCGACGAATTCGTGATCGCCCCCATAAGTTTCTTCCTCTGCAACTCCTCAAACCAAAAACCCAAAAACATACAAACGAAAACCCTTAAATACCCTTTACCACTGGTCCATCCAAGAGGGTTGAAGAAGAAGAAACAGCAAGCAACGAACCAGACGGATCTTCCACAATAGAACAAAGGGTGAGACTTTACTTTGAGAAGAAAAGGGAATCTACAGGCAAAAGAAAAGAAGACCAGTAACCGTGCAACCAATTAAAGAAACAATGAAAAGCTCATCACAGCACAGACACAGCATACACAGCGTCACAGCCCCATTTGTTTTTTTCTCAGGTCCCCTGTTCCCACGCCAAATCAAACCAGCTCAAGTCTTCCCACGTGGCACAAAGAAATTTGTTCCATCAAACCACAGACTACGCAACTTGGTTTGCTGATCCTACAACTTAGACGGTCCAAAAAAAATTGGGATGCAACATGGGGCCCGCTAACATCCCAACTTTTGGCTTTACAGTGACAGCCGACATGAACATAATGGTTGAAGCTTCTGCTAGCTAAGAGGGTTTTGGCTAGCTAAGAGGGTTTTGGAGATACACATTGGTTCAAAGCATCTTTGCCCATAAGAATGCTCGTAAACAAAACCAAATTCTCTAATGGCGGAAAATCTTGAAACCAAGGAATTTTAGCCGCTCTCAATTCATCAATGTTCCTAAACCTCATAATTGCCTGTGGAATGAATAAAAAGCATTATGATTCTCGTTGGTTAGAATTAGGACAGACGGTCTTTCAGATGGGATGGTTTCCTACAGGCCGTAGCAATGGGGTGTTGGTTTCGTTCAAGTTTCAAATGACGTTTAACAATTAAGTGGCTGTGTCAAAAGAAGTATTCATCGCATAATACTTTTTAATGTTTATTTTAACAGTCCTTGTTTGATGATCTATTTGTCAAAATCACTTATTATGTTTTTTAATCACTTATTGGAGTGTGGATGTTTGGTGAACTATTTCCCTAAAAGTGTTTATATTAATACAAGTGATAATTTTAGTCCTCATAAATACAAACAATGTTTTTCACCATATCACTTAACAAATAAAAAATGCAATCACAAGTTTTCAAAAAAATAATTCAAGCACTTAATTAATTATTAATCATAATAACATATACAATACATAACAAATATTCATGTAAAAAATAAAGAGAAATGCAATCACAAATCAAAAATGCATGTAAACATTTAACTAAATATTAATCACAACAAGATATAAAAAAACATCACAACTATACATATCAAAAATAAAGAAAAATGCTATCACAAATCAAGAAAAATATAAACATTAAACTAATTATTCATACAAAAAAATCAATAAAAAATTTGTAACCCACATATTTCAGCATATGTTTTGCATCATTTTTGACAAAAAACACATAAAAAATTTTACTCATGCATAGGAACCATCACATGGATAGTGCAAAAATTAAAAAAAAAAAGCAAATATTTCAGATTTCTCACTTGAAAAATATGAAAAAACGAATCCAAACAAATATTAACCCAAAAAAATAAGAAAATAACATCAAACATGGAGGGAAGGAGTTTGGGCGAACTCACATTTGTTCTTCGGTGGCTAGACTATCAAGTGTCACCGGTAAACTTGCCCAATCACAAATCTATGAACAGAGAGAATAATGCCTTTTCATGTGTTAAAAAATTCAAGAAAATGCTTCAAATCAAATAAAATAAGCAAAAAAATAGTCACAAAGGGAAAAACGACAAATTTGTTGGCAGTATTTTTGCACCGTTGATCGTCGTTGGTGGACCTACAACTAGAGCCACCGCCCTCTGCTTGTTGTCTTCAAATCGGAGAAGAGGGAAGAAAACCCTCGCATGGGGGGTAAAACTGGTATTAAATAAATTATTTAGGGACTGAGTCGTCCCATTCGTTTTGAAAAAGCACTTCTCAAAGAAGTGTTGAAAAAAAGCCACTCTTAGGTCACTTTTTCTATAAGTACTTTTTTTCAAAAAAAAGTACTTCTTGGTGACTTTTTTACCAAACACACATAAGTACTTTTTTACCACTTAATGTGTGGTCCCAACACTTACAAGTACTTTTTAGAAAAGAGGGCCTTCATCTTATTATTATGACTTGCAGGGATTGCATTCATAAATCATAATAAACACAACTCCTTAGTGATTTTAGATGGAAAAAGTACAATGTTGGATTGATTACCAAAACAATCAAGTAAAGAGGTCGTGGAAAGAAGTGTTGCCTTAGGCCATCTAATAGCTGTTACAACACAAAAGTATCACCAAGAAAAGGGGAGGGGATCCAAGTGTATGTGTATCAAGATGGCTTCCAACTTTTGAAGTCATGAAGAGTATATAATTGTTAAGCAAAGTATAGTATACAATTGTTTTTTAAATAATCAATAATTATTTATGTTTTATATATTATTTTTAATTTTTTATAATACAAAAATAAAAGTAACTAATTTAAGCTAGGGTTGTTCATCAAATTGATGAATTCGACCAACTTGACCCGAGATGGTCAGTTTTCTAGTATTTTCAATCGACTTTGGTTCAACAATTTCTTCACCCGACCAGGTTGGATCAATTTTGTTTTGGCCATTTGTAAATCAACCAAAATCGAATGACCTGACCATAGATATATATTAACAAGTTATATTTTTAATATAGAAAAGTGGGGAAATTCCCATATTTCTTAGTCTAAAATATTTTATATCATAAATTTAATTGTTAATTTTTTTAATAATGCCACTATAATTTTTAAATTTAAATTTAATTTTTTAAGTTTAAATCTTTTGAACCAAACGACCAAACTGAAAATCGACCTAAATCGATACAACCCGAGTTAGAGAGTTTTCACCAATGGTCAGTCGATTTCGGGTGATCAACTCCCCAATCTAACTAGTTTAATTTGGTTGGCCAAACAACCTACAACCAAGCCAAACAAATCCATGAACGCTCTTAATTTTAGCTAAATTAATAGTCTAATATCTAATAAATAACAATAGCTTAATCACCAATAATTATTGAATTTTTTATTAAATAACAAAACAAAAAAAATTATACATAATTATTGAAAAAATATTTTTCAAAAAAAACAATAAATAATTACTGAAAATACAATAAATATTAATTTTAGTATAGATAAATATATAATAAATATAGATTAAGATTTTAAAATTATTATTAACAAATATTATTTTTTGAAAACTATTTTCTAAAATTATTAATTGATTTGAGTGAAATTATTTATTTATAACATCGTTTAGATATTTAAATAATACCATTCTTTAAAATTTTTGAAATATTAATTATTTATTGAATTTAATAATCCATAAAATTATAATTTATACTATTATTATAGAATTTCGTTATTAATTTTGTAAAATATTAAATTATTATTCATTTGAATATTATGTTATAATTATTAATATTATACTTTTAAGATTTTTTAATTTATTACTTAATTTCATTATTTTAACTATTTGAAATATAGTTATGTTAAATATTTAGTTGTTTAAAATATTCAGTTATTTAAATATTTAAGTAATATATAAAATATTTATTTTTTTATTTATTTTGAAATGATTACATAATATTAAATACTTTGTTATATAATTATTTATCTATTTTTAATATTTTGTTATTTAAGGTATTTAATTATTAAAATATGTAAATAATATTTTATTTTCTTAATGTCAAATTTTTATCATTTGAATAACATTTAAATTGAATAATCTATAAAATCATAATTTATATTGTTAATACATAATTTCGTGATAAATTTTGTAAAAATATAAAATTATTTATAATATGAATATTATCAAATCTATTATAATTTTGTTAGAATATTTAAATATTTTTTAAAAATTTAATTCAAACTTTCTTTAGATATATATATAGATAAAAAGTGGGGGAGAGGATAAATAGGAGTTAAAGATAATTTAGGAGAGAAATTCTATATTAAATTAATTTAAAAGATAATTTAGAAGAAAGTGAGAGAGGTAGTTTAGGAGAGAATATTATTTAGGGTAAAATATAAAAGCCTGCTATCAATTATAAAAACCTCCCCTGAATTTTTGAAAAACTAAACACAAACCTCCCTTTTGTTAAATATGTTAGACGGAAAGCGGTTGTTTGATAGTGATACATTATTTTTTTAATACCCATTTTACCGTTTTACCATTTCATGCGTTCCGAATGAAGAAAGAATTTAGTGAAGAGCCTTCCCTCATCCCTAGGCTCCAACCATACGTGTATTTGCATTTTGCACCCTCCCTCATCTCCGCCCTCTTCCCCCTTCTCTTGTTGGTGCTTCGTATCACCACACCATCATAAAGTCGTCCTCCACTGTAACCTGGATATTGGACTCGGAGACGTCGAGGATGTCCATATGCAATACATATGCCTTGGGGTTTCAACTTTCAAGGATGTCGATGCACCTCCTTCGGTTGTTGCAGCAGTCTAGAAAGGGGCTAAAAGCTGACGAGCGACAGTCATTTAAAACTGCCGCTAATACATCAGCCGCGAATTAAGGTTCATTTCCCTTCCTCCTTTTTCCTTTTTCCTTTTTCAATTATCTTCCCGCCCTCTTTCTCTCTTGCGCGCGCTCTCGAAATCCAACTACATCGGCCCTCCACTACATTCACTGTTAGTTGCAATAACTTGATTAAGCGATGGAAGAAACTTGTTAGTCCTCAAGGATCTTGTGAATTAGATGTCTAGCCTGACCTCTTCAATTTTAGCTCAGATGCTATTTTTGTTCTTCGTCTATTACATGTTT